CTTCAATTTTGTGCTTTCATGCAAACTAAGAACCCAGCCACATTTGCAAACACAAGAAGCCTCCTCAAGATAGGAGGACCTGTGCCCATCCAGCTCTGCTCACCAGTCTCTGTCAGGTGTAGCCCAAGCCATGAATAGATGCTGGGCTGCGGGATGTCCCTACCTGAGCGGAGCTGAGGCAGGCAGCACAGAAAGTGCCGGAAGCTTGGTTTGCTGTTTCCCTGGGATAACAAGAGGATTTATTCACCCACGCAGGCAGGCTAACAACTCACACTAAGGAGACTCAGCTTCTGAATCAGAAGAGGATGGCAATGTGGAAGTTATCACATTAAGTAATTCATACAAATGACACAATTGGAGCTGCACAAATGTTTGCATTTGTGGATATAGACCTTTTCACTTCAAGGCACAAACCTCCCGCAAATGATAGGAGTTGAAAAGAAATGATTGGGGAGGGGGCATAGTTGTCCCTTCTCACGTCTCTGGCAACTGCCATTGCTGAACTGACCACTGAGATGAACCACCTCGGGGCTTTTCCACCCTGGCAGTTCCCGCATGCCAAAGAACAGCCAGAGCACAGTAGCATCGTCGCCACCCACCTTCCTCAAAAATATCTCTTATCACCTACCTGACACAAAGCCGGATCTATTCTAGTGGTTCCTGATTCTACTCACTGCCTCTAAAACAGGCCCCAGTCACAATGGCCAGTGTGATGCCAACAGGTCTTGTCTCAGAGGTAATCTCTTTTATACCTCTGGAACTGCCTTCACTGCTGGCCCTGGGCCTGAGAACCAGCAGTACCTCCAGCTTTCTTACTCAGGAGTCTCTCCTTCTGATGACCATACAAACCTCAGATGAAATTCCTTGGTATCCAAGGCACTTGGGATCACCTCAGACAATACTTAGAATGATGTATGAAATCTGCCCTGTCAGAGGGGGTGATAAAGCTGAGCAGAACCTGGATCCGTAGGGTCAGGTCCATTTTAGCAAACAGGGTGATGCAGCAGGAGCAGATCTGTAGAGGAAGACAGCTGATGATGATGACTTGGTGGCCACGCTGCAAATGTCTGGGGGCTTACCCCAGCCCAAAACAAAGCTGAATTCTCATAGTCCTCAGAGCACATTTGGGGCAGATCTTGCAGGTCCTTTCACCTATGTTGTTCATGTTCTCCTGATCCAAACGGAGGTGTTAATGCAGCTGCACCCTAACTGTCCAGAAACATGGACTCCCATCCCACCCCTGTTCTGATGGAGGAAAGGAGCGTGGAGATTTTGGTAGACATCCGTTCCTAAAAGGAACAAAGACAAGGAAGGTGTTGGTGCCCTCACTTCAGTAGCAAGACAGTAACAGGAAAATGAGATGTCCGTTGTCCTGTGAAGACTTTCTAGCCAGGATTGCCCTCACTGAGATGACACAGCTGGAGGGGGAGTTTTACCTCTCTGACATGACCAACCCATTCCTCTGAGCACTACTCCCGCTCTACCTCCTTCCTTCCCTTCCCCTTTCCCTGTTTGTGGGACCACGCTGCTGGCTGGTGATGGAAGAGGCCATCACAGCAGCTGAGCAACCTGCGTCAGCTCTGCTACCATGGCTCACCCTGGGAAGCAGGTGTCCCAGGCACCCCGCTCGCCAAACATCCCTTGCAGGCCTTAGCACTAGCTCTTTGCCTTTCCCCTCATGTCAGCATCCATCCTCCCGACATCTCTTACGGCCTGGGTGCCTCCTCGTAACCCTCTTTCTTTGGGAATGGGAGCCCGGCACCTTCTTTTCCTGCAGCTCGTACTCCTGGGGGCGGCCGGGCTTGCCCCGTGGGGCAGGAGGGATGCATACGCGAGGGAGCCGGCCGGGGCCCGGCTGCAGCAGCCCCTGCGGCTGGGCCCCGGCC